CGGGGCAAGGAGGAGGTGAACCTTCCTTTGTACACAAGAGTGATTGTAATTCATCAATTTGAAGAAACTTGTTTGAATTAATCTACACGCTCAAGAGGAGTTGGGTAGTTAATTGGTTTGCAATTCTTTCCTTTTTATTTACTTATTGTTACGTTTGTGATTTTTACATTGCTTATCTCTTCTACTTCTCTCAAGTGATTTTGTTCATTCATTAATTGATTCATTCTGTGAGCACTTAGAAAAGAAGATAAATTTAATATTAAGCAAAAAGTGTCCATAACTTAATTAGTTTTTTAATCAACCTAATTCACCCCCTCTTAGGTTGTCTTCGATCCTTACAAGAATTGCTGCTAACCTAAACATTCTTATCGGTATAGGCATAATAACTCCCTGATATGCCCTTTTGTAACTCTCCAATAAGTAATAGTCATCAACAAACTAGTATGAGTTCTTACGATTTTGAATGAGACTAGCACATACATGAACACATGGTATTCTAGCCATTTCCCATTTATGGCAGGTGCAAATCCGTTCATTTGCATTAACAACAAATGTTCCACTGATATTGCTCACCTTATACGCTAGCTTATTAGTAACTATTGTATCAAACTCAACCACTTTCTTTTTCCTCTCTTCAAGTTTCTGAGCAATTCTTGGACAAATATGAGATTTTACCTTAGATATCCACTCTTTCTTTTCTTGAAATATACACATTATTTGTCTCCTAATGGTTTCAAACATGGTTAGCACAGGTTCATGCCTAGCATCCTTAATGTACTAGTAAAACTCCCACATATATTGTTGCTCAAAAAATCACACTTAGACCTCTGATAAGTGTATATTTTGTGTGTTTTATTATTTAGTTTTGGTGTGTTTTATTTAATTTTATAGCTAATTAACTACGTTTCGAGTGAAGTTATGCATTTTGTGATTTAAGTGTCAAAAATTACATTTCTATGAATTTTAATGGTGAAACTTCAAGTTTTTATAGGTTTAATACTTCAATCATCAAATGAAGTGCATTGAAAAGATATTTGGATAATTGTTGATGATTTGAAGTGATTTAAAGAAAACATGAAATGCAAAATGTTCAAAAGATAAAATGCAAGTTAAGACAGCTTTGATACCTTTTGGTATTTTGGGTATATTTTAAACTATACGCATTGGATTGAAGTGATTCTTAAATGATCTTAAAGTTATGAGATAGATCTACATTTCTTGTGAGACCTCAAAGTCCGATTTAGTTGTTTTCATTTTCAAAATGTCGAAATACAAAAGTGCGATTTTGTTGTCAAAAGTTGAAATAGGGGATTGACCAATCGAGGTATTTTGGTCATTTCTCGACCTATAGAGCTCCAAATTGGATGATTCTAGAGGCATTGGAAATCTAACTCAAAGCACTACAACTTTCATGTTTTACAAAAGAGTTAGTTCAACCTCCATCATTGAGAAAAATCAGTGGAAGTTGGTACAAAAAATAGAGCAAGAATGAAGATTGACCAGAAATGAGCAAACCTAGAAAAAAAGGCAAAACGTGGGTCAATACGCGATCTCAGGTCGCATTTTCGAGGTCATGTATTCTTCAATTGTGGCTGCAATTTGTTCTCTATTCACACAAGTTTTTTGACCAATTTTTCTGCAAGAAATCCGGTTGGATATAAGCAAGCAAGTATAGAATCTTGTAAAAACAACTTTTATGAGTTTCAAGAGACAAAAATGCCAACTAGAAACAACTCATTTGGACCTTGAATTCTCTATAAATAGAGACCTTTGGAGAGCATTTTTAATAACTTTGGAAGGCTAGAGAAACTCCACAAAAACATAATTTTCACTAGAATTTTCTTAGTTCATTAATTTAGGTAGATTAACATAGTATAATTAGAGTAGTTTATCCTTTTTGTACTTGTAGCTAAACTTGGATGAAAATTAAGGAGCAAGATGTAGAGTTTGATCTCATGTGACAGGGGTGATATTTCTTTTACTACTTTCTCTCTTGTATTTGAATTCATGTTTAGTTATAATATAAGTTTGGATCTTGTTTTCATCTTTGTCATGTTTTGCTAAAGTTTATGCCTAGAGTTATGGATGAACTTTCTATATATTGTTAGTGATATTTACTTGATTACTTAATGATGTTATTTTGAGCAAATTATTTATCACTTTTACTTTTCTAATCATGATTAACCGGCATTTAGTTGTGATAATCTTAAGGTGTTAAGATTGCAATAAAAAGTTGAAATTTAACACTAGTTTAAGGAAGTGATAAACCTAAGGAGTACACTCACGAGAGTAGAAGTGCACCTATGTGGCTTTAGTGACTTGATTCATGTAATTTCATAGAAGAAATGAATTTGTAGTTTGTAGACAAAGAAAATTTATTTAATTTATTTAGTCAAGATTAAATGAATTGAATTGATCTTGATTAAATTAAATTAAATTTGATAGAAGTCCATTATGTTTTGGATTGGCAAATTGGGCCAATATTATATGGGCTATTAAATCAAATTAAATCCATAATGTCCGCTTAAGTTGGAGTGAATTAATTGATTTATTAATTCACAATGGACTATTTGGGTTGGCCCATTATTTAAGCCCAAGTTAAATGGATTTCTTGGGTAACAAGTGATCCAAAAAGCAGGAAGATTCTGAGAGTTTTCTTGAAGACCTAGCCTACATATTTTGGCTATAAATAGAGGTCTTCCCCCAAGGCAAAGAGAGAGAAAAATTCCTAACATTCGGAGAAACTCTGTCAAATGCCCTCAAGAGCTTTCTTCCTCAAATCCAAGTTCAAATCAAGTCAAACAAACCCTCCTGCTATCGGTGTTGAAGACTCGAAGTTCCAAGTGTTTGACGCCATCATCAAATCAATCGTTTTCTACGCCGAAATTGTAGGAAACACCCTTTCGATTGGAGAACAAGTCTTTTTGGCCCTTCAATTGAAGCTATTCAAAGAAAAGAATCAGGGGATTAATTTCTTTGATTCAAGAATTTTCAGAGATTGTAACCCGCTTATTATTTGATTTAATAAATTTGATATTTGTGCAAGTTTTCTTGTCTTTTATTTCAGGCAACAAAATTTGTGCTTACAAATCTCTGGCACGCCCAGTGGGACAATCTCTGCCTCTCATCTCTTTTCTTCCAACAACTTACCAGTTTCAAAATTCGATGGAGTTCAAGAAGGTGAACTTTTCTCTTGAAGGCTTAGTTGCTGATGTCTCAACCACTCAAGGGACGCAGTATACTGCACCTCTGACAAGGAGTAAGGCCAAGAAGTTAGCAGAGAAGGCTAAGGCGAACGTTGTGACTGAAGAAGCAAATCTCGAGATGCTTCCTAACAAGAAAGGAGCCCATGATGAATCCATTGGTAGCCCAAGTGATTCTGCTAGCTCTGTGGTGATGCCCGTCATGATGACCAATACCACAACTGTGGAAGACCAGATCTCGAATCTAGCCAAAATTGTCGAAGGGCTAGTAGTGCATGCGCAAAGTCAAGATGCCAAGATAGTCAAATTAATGGATATGCTGGAAAATATAGGCGAAAATAGCCTTAGTATGTCCAAACAGAAATTCAAAGTGCAAGATGAAGGGGACTCGTCATCAAGGGAGAAGGAGAAAGAGGATGCGAAGTCACAAGCCGCGAAGGAATTTTCAATCTCCCCTGATGGCACCATTCATGTTGATAATCTGAAGGAATTTATCGAAGGTACAATCAAGGACAAGATTGGTGGAGGTGTCAAGTCATATAGTGGTTACACCAAACCTTACACCGCTAGAGTGGAAAGTTTGAAAATGCCTGTGGGGTATCAACCTCCAAAATTTCAACAATTTGATGGTAAGGGCAATCCTAAGCAACATATAGCACACTTCGTGGAAACTTGTAACAATGCGGGCACTGATGGTGACTTGCTCGTTAAGCAGTTTGTTCGCTCGCTGAAGGGTAATGCCTTTGATTGGTACACGGATCTGGAGTCTGGAACCATTGACAGTTGGGAGCAGCTAGAGCATGAATTCCTTAGTCGCTTCTATTGCACAAAGAGAACTGTCAGCATGACTGAACTCTCTAATACACGTCAATGGAAGAGTGAACCTGTCATTGATTTTATCGACCGTTGGAGGAATCTAAGCTTAAATTGCAAAGATCGAATTTCTGAATCTTCCGCGATCGAGATGTGCATTCAAGGTATGCACTAGGGACTCAGATACATCTTACAAGGTGTACAACCAGAAACATTTGATGAATTGTCCACAAAAACCCATAAGTTGGAGATTAATCTTGATGGACAAGAACCGCCAGTTCCTGACCCTTACAAGGCCAAAGAGAGACAAGAAGCGAGGAAAGGGGGCAAGCCACCATTTAAAAATGAAAAGAAGGAGGCTATGGCTACAAGTGTAACGCCCTTTAAGGTTGTTCCCAAAACTGTCAGGAGAGAAGACAGCAAGATCAATGCACATCAAGAACAAGGAAAGAGGAAACCAACTCTCAAGGAGATGCAAGACAAAGAATACCCTTTTCTTGATTCTGACGTCCCTGGTATGTTTGACGATCTGTTAAATATAAACTTGATCACGCTTCCTGAGATGAAGCGACCTGATGAGGCCAGGAACACTGACGATCCAAACTACTGCAAGTATCACCGATTGGTTGGGCATCCCATTCAAAAATGCTTTGTCTTCAAAGACAAAGTAATGGAGTTGGCAAGACAGGGAAAAATTCTCCTTGAGGAAGACAAGGCGAGTGTGAATCAAACGTCCATTGGTTCCTGCAGTCCATGGAGGATAAAAGGGTCATGGTACCTGTATTGCCGACAACTCAATTTGGATCACTTGACCCTATAGAAATCAAACAAGAAAGTGCTCTTTCAACTCTTCAGGAACATGTATATGAAGATGAAAAGGCGCTACAGCCTGATGTGGATGATGAAGGGTGGACTCCAGTCACGTGAAGAAGGAGGCGAAAGTCTTGTCCATCTAGTAGGGCGAGCAAGGTCTTAACAAGAAGTATGGTGATTTGCAAGGGAAAAGAGAAAAACGTAAAGAAAACTAATGATTGTCATAATCTTCAAGGAGGCCGAATCTTCAAGCAAAAGTCGCGAACTCCTATTACTTTAAAAGAATTTTTGCCAAAGGAATTCTTTGATGTTGATGTGGTCGCAAGTCACACAACGCGAGTGGATCATATCGAGGAACAAAAAGATAATACTTGCGAATCTCTCTGTGAGATGGCCCGTGCATCCACCGGCAATGAAGAAGGTCGTGTGCCTACCAGCAATGAAGAGGTGAACGTCACAAGTATCACTTTTACTAATGAAGACTTGTTGCTTGGGTCAACACCGCATAACCGTCCTTTGTTTGTGACTGGTTATGCAAAAGAGCAAAAAGTGAATAGAATGTTGATAGATGGAGGTTCCGCAGTCAATATTCTCCCTTTAAAAACTCTGAAGGAGCTTGGTATCCCGGTTGATGAACTCTCCAATAGCCGACTGATGATTCAAGGCTTCAATCAAGGAGGGCAAAGAGCTCTTGGGTCACTAAATTTGGAGATAGTCATTGATGACATGACGTCCAGAGCACTATTGTATATGATAGATGCTAAAACAACATACAATGTATGTTGGGAAGGCCCTGGATTCATGAAAATGGAGTTGTACGTTCAACTCTTCATCAATGCTTCAAGTACTGTCAAAACGGGGTGGCAAGAAGTGTGAAAGCTGATGATAATCCTTTCACTGAGGCGGAAGCATATATCGCCGATGCCAAATTTTACATCAAAAGGCACATTGCGAAGGATAAAACTGAACAATCTCTATCTGGGGATAAAATCCAGAACCCCGGATCTCCAAATGCAAAAGGGGAGAAAGTGATGACTTCGAAATCAAAAGAGGAAGTTCATGAAGAAACTGATGTTTCATTGCCAAACAATGAATCAGTTGTCTTTCGCTGCCCTCCCAAATCAAGAATGGAACAGGGACAGTCACCTGCAATTCAGCATGAAACTCTAAAGGATTTGACTCTTCCGGTAGCTCATCTTGATACAAAAAAGGCGTCATCTTCTCAACTTAAAAGGTCTAACTTTTTAAGCAAAGAATCTGAAGTTGAACAAGACACCATAGCAAAGTCAAGAACTAAAGAAGGTTTTGATCCTATCGCTTATAAGCTTCTCGCTAAGGATGGATACGATCTCAAAGAATCTGCGGTGTTAAATGTTCTATCTCGTCAATCTACTAGTGACATGATTCATGGGTTGAATTCTACCCAAAAGATGTTGAAGGAAAAGGGATACGCCGTTGAAAATCCCAAATTTGGCCTTGGCTACTCCTCTCCTACACCAATCCGCATCAAGATCAATAGAGTTAGTAGCCAATATATTGCTATAGAGGATGAGTCTTCTCAAATAGTTGGTAAATCTCAAACTTTTCACGAAAAGAAAAATAAAATTCCACGGGTATCTGTTTTTAAGAGATTAGGACCACAAAAAAGACAAAAATCTCAAAACTCTCATAAGAGTAAAGGAAAAATGGCAAAGTCATTGCAAAGTCTTGAAGAACCTTCTGATTGTCCTCATAAATTTGGTAACATCATTCCTTCGAGAATGAGAAGATGCACAGATCTTGTAATAAAGTGTGGGACTGAATTGAGGGTCAGGGAGCATACCGTGGTGTACACAAGACCAAAAGAGGATGATGAAGAGAGTATTGCTTCATGCAACCATATAACCATAATTGACGGTGACTCGCCTGAAGAAGAAGAAGATGCTGAAGACGCTCCACCTGAATTGGAGGAAGGTGTTAAGGCTACTGTGGATGATCTAAAGGAGATCAATCTTGGTACTTCAGAGGACCCACATCCAATATACATAAGTGCTTCACTGAGTCCTGACGAAGAGAAGGCATATGTTGAACTCTTGCGGGAGTATCAAGATGTTTTTGCATGGACTTATAAAGAAATGCCGGGTTTAAATCCAAAAGTGGCCGTCCACCATTTGGCTGTTAAAAAGGGAGTTCGGCCTGTGAAACAAGCACAACGGCGATTTAGACCTGATTTGATTCCGTTAATCGAAATGGAAGTCAATAAACTAATTGAAACCGGGTTTATTCGTGAAGTTAAATATCCCGCATGGATTTCGAGTATCGTGCCTGTGCGAAAGAAGAATGGACAAATCCGCATCTGTGTCGATTTCAGGGATGTTAACAATGCTTGTCCCAAAGATGACTTCCCTTTACCAATCACTGAACTTATGATTGATACAACTACTGGGCATGAAGTTCTGTCGTTTATGAATGGCTCTTCTGGATATAATCAAATTCGATTGGCACCTGAGGATGAGGAGCTCACTGCATTTCGTACTCCTAAGGGTATTTATTGTTATAAAGTAATGCCCTTTGGTCTCAAAAATGCTGGAGCCACATATCAAAGAGCAATGCAAAGTATCTTTGACGACATGCTTCATAAAAATATCGAGTGTTATGTGGATGATTTAGTTGTTAAATCAAAGAAAAGAAGTAATCACTTGGAGGACTTGAGACAAGTATTTGATCGATTGAGAAGGTATCAACTCAAAATGAACCCTCTCAAGTGTGCATTTGGAGTCACGTCGGGGAAATTTCTTGGTTTTGTGGTTCGCCATCGAGGTATTGAAATTGATCAGGCCAAAATTGATGCTATATTGAGGATGCCTGAACCTCGTGACATTCATGAATTGAAAAGTCTTCAAGGGCGATTAGCTTATCTGCGGAGATTTATCTCAAATTTAGCAGGAAGGTGTCAGCCATTTAGTCGCTTGATGAAGAAAGATATGTCATTTCAATGAGATGAGGCATGTAGTAATGCATTCAATAGCATTAAGTCTTATCTTATGAAAGCACCTGTGTTGGCTGCACCTATTCATGGAAAGCCCTTACTCCTTTATGTTGCTGCCCAAGAACGATCGATGGGGGCATTGCTCGCTCAAGAAAATAATGAAGGAAAGGAGGTTGCCCTTTATTATTTAAGCAGAATGATGACCCCCAACGAACTAAATTACTCGCCAATTGAAAAGTTGTGCTTAGCCCTTATTTTTGCAATACAGAAGTTAAAGCATTACTTTCAAGCGCATAGTGTGAGGCTCATTTCCAGGGCGAATCCCATAAAATATGTGATGAGTAGACCAGTGCTGTCCGACCGTCTAGCTAGATGGTATCTTCAACTACAACAGTTTGAAATTATTTATGTGTCTCAAAAAGCTGTGAAGGGACAAGTTCTGGCAGATTTTCTTGCTGATCACCCGATACCTGCTGAATGGGAACTAAGTGATGACTTACCGGATGAGAATGTACTCCTTATCGAGATTCGTCCACCATGGAAGATGTATTTTGATGGTGCGGCTCATCGTCATGGAGCTGGAGCAGGGATTGTATTCGTGACTCCTGATGGAGGGATATTGCTATACTCCTTTACTCTAAGTCATCATTGTTCAAACAATGTCGCTGAGTACCAAGTTCTCATACTCGGACTTGAAATAGCTGTTGATATGGAACAGTTGGACATTCAAATCTATTGTGACTCTCAATTAGTGGTTAACCAACTCTTGGGAAGTTATGAAGTCAAAAAGTCCGAGTTAATTCCGTATCACAAATATGCAACGCAACTAATGAGGCGGCTTGGAGGTGCAAGTATTAAGCATGTTCCTAGAAGGGAAAATAAGCAAACTGATGCATTAGCTGCGCTAGCCTCTTCACTTACCATGCCGGATCATGAGATACAAGTCCGTGTGTGCCGAAAGTGGGTAGTTCCATCACTGATTGATGATGAAAATATTGAAGGAGGCGACGCTCATGTGGTCTCAACCTATGAAATTGACAAAGAAGATTGGAGACAACCCCTCGTTGATTATCTCAAGTATCAAAAATTACCCGAGGAGCAACGTAGAAGAACTGACATTCGTCGTCGAGCCCCTCGTTTTATCTTGTACAAGGACACGCTGTACCGAAGATCGTTTGAAGGTGTATTGTTGCGCTGTCTGAGCGAAGACGAGGCATATCGGGCGATGCACGAGGCACATTCTGGAATATGTGGAACACATCAATCCGGTCCCAAGTTACATTTTCGGATTAAAAGGATGGGCTACTATTGGCCTACTATGGTCAAAGATTGCATAGAATATGCTCAAAAATGTCAAGCTTGCCAGTTTCATGCAAATTACATTCATCAACCACCCGAGCCGTTACACCCAACCGTTGCTTTTTGGCCTTTTGATGCTTGGGGCCTTGATGTTGTGGGGCCATTACCAAAATCGTTCGGTCAACACTTATATATACTGGCTGCGACCGACTACTTTTCTAAGTGGGCTGAAGCCATACCGCTAAAACAAGTTAGAAAGGAAGATGTGGTGAATTTTATTCGTATGAATATTATTTACCGTTATGGAGTTTCCCGGTACATTATCACTGATAATGGAAAATCCTTCTCCAATGGCTTGATGGATAAGTTATGTGAGAAATTTAATCTCAAGCAATACAAGTCCTCCATGTATAATGCCCCCGCCAATGGTCTCGCAGAGGCATTCAACAAAACTTTATGTAACTTGTTGAAGAAAGTGGTGGCAAAGTCAAAGAAGGATTGGCACGAAAGGATAGGCGAAACTCTTTGGGCCTATCGCACCACATACCGAACTCCGACGCAAGCCACACCATATGCCTTGGTCTATGGTGTAGAAGCTGTTCTGCCCCTTGAGCAACAAATTTCTTCTTTGAGAATTGCTATCCAAGAAGGGCTCACGGAGGAAGAAAATATTCGCCTGCGCCTTGAAGAATTGGAAGCTTTGGATGAAAAGAGATTGGAGGCCCAACAAAATCTGGAGTGCTATCAAGCCCGTCTCTCTAGAGCTTTTAATAAGAAAGTTCGACGTCGCTCCTTTCAAGTCGGGGACATGGTACTTGCCGTTCGAAGGCCAATAGTTATGACTCATCGCACTAAAGACAAATTCGTCTCTAAATGGGATGGGCCGTACATTGTTCGAGAAGTCTACACGAATGGTGCGTACAAATTGGTGGACAAAGATGGCGTGAAAGTTGGTCCTATAAATGAAAAATTCATGAAGCTATACATGCCATAAAAAAAAAAAAAGTGAAGTACTCCATGACGCATGAGTCTAAACTGCATGTTGCTCCAAACCCGCATGAGCTAAAACTGTGGACAACAACCACCAATAGTGTAGCATGTGGTTAAACTGCTGAAATACTCCACCAAATCTAAGGTGGTAAACAAAAGGATACTCCATGACGCATGAGTCTAAACTGCATGTTGCTCCAAACCCGCATGAGCTAAAACTGTGGACAACAACCACCAATAGTGTAGCATGTGGTTAAACTGCTGAAACACTCCACCAAATCTAAGGTGATAAACAAAAGGATACTCCTAACCCGCAAGAGTTTAAACTGTGAATGGTAGGAACTACGTGTGACTTGATTCTCTGTTGGGATACGTAGGCAACTTAGAGGGCAACTTCTAAGTTCAGTTACAATCTTATAAAACTAAATCCTTTGTCCGGATGATTATTTTGTTAAAAAAAAAAAAACGGTTCTCTTTAAGCCAGTTCGAATTATTTTGTGACATATACTTGAAAGTGTATTATTCAGATTACTAAATTATTTGGATAATTACCTTTTCAAGTGTGATCAAAATTATGCAAAGATGGAATTGTTTGTATTGCAGTTAATAGCTTAAAATGGTGGCTATTGAAAAAAATAAGGAAAAACGGGGACGTCTGTAAGGATGTGGAAAACAAGAGAGCAAGTTTCATTATGAAATGTTTATGCTCATAGCTACACGTTTTGAGCAGGTAACAAAAGATGAAATTTGAAACAAAGAAACAGATTGCAACTATTCCTAGAATTCAAATGACGATAGCTCCTTTCGGTTGCTTTCAAGTAATGCTTGCATCTTGTCAAAAGTTTGACTCTCCTCAGCAAGTAGGGGCGGGGAATTCTCAATCTTTCGAACTTCATTTTGTAAGTCGACCATCACGCCTTGCACTCGGGTAAGCTCATCTTGCTCTTCTCGTAGCCGTGAAAGTGTCTCCTTCCTGTGAGTATCCAAGAACTCAAGCCGCTTCCTCAACTCGACTTCCTCGCGATCAATCTCCTTAATTTTCAGCATGTGCGTTGAGATCTTTTCCGCTTGTTGTTTCTCCTTACTCTGAGCATCTCTAAGATGTTGGGTGGCAGTAGAAAGCAACTCATTATATGATTCAACTGGAATTTTATTTGAGAGGGAAGATTTCACTGCGACGTAACGAGCTGCATTTGCAAAGAAAGCCTTTAAAAGGCCTTGCAAATTTGAGATATCCGTGGCATTGAAACTTTGTATTTCCTCCATGATTTCGCTTGCTTTCATTTCAAGAGCAGGCATGCGCTCCAAGGCTGTTTGAGATATCATCACCCTCAAGTTATTCCACAACATTTGGATATAGTTTCGACGGCATGTTGAGATCACACTTTGGGGGCAAAATTCAGACACTTGAGGTGCCCTTGGCCACGATGGTGGATCGAAAATTTTAAGTTTCTTTTGGGCCAATGGAGTCATATGTTCCACCTTCTGTGGCGTGATTTGCTGAATCACATTTCCATCCTCTACTGCCTTTTTGGAATTCTCACTAGCACCCATTTGTTGGGTAGAACTGACCACTTGGTTGGCCAAAAGTTCAAATGCAGTGGGTCCTTCAATTGATGCTTGGCTTGGTTCTCCATCATCAATGAAGATCAAGTCTTGATCATCCAACTGTTGGGAAAATGTTATGAGCCAAATCATAGATATGAAATTGACAAGTAAATTTCAAATGCTAAATTAAAGAAGGCAAGGGGGGTCCTTACAATATTGGCATGGCTTATACCAGGCATAGATATATCCGGAATGTCTTTAAAGAGTTCTTTAGGATCTAAACCAATATCATCCAAAGGGAAAGTCATTACCTTGGACTTCTTGCGCTTCCAATGCTGGTCCGTGCTGGTGGATTGTTCATCCTCCTCATCAAAAGGCTCGCTCCTCTTCTTCTCATGTGAATTACAAGAATCATGATCAATGGCTTTCACAATTTTTGAAGGAAGACGAAATGAAGTACCCTTCGAAAATTGTTCATTAGGGGTAAGGTTCTCAAGGGTAGTAACCTTGTTGTTTGAACTCTTCAAAATTTCCTTCTCGTTTCTCACAGTCTTTTGCTTCATCTCAAGACTGTTATCAACTTTGGAAAGATTGTTCAGGTTTGCAAGTTCCTTCCCTTTTGACCTCTTCTGCTCCCCATTTGATTGGATACTCTTAATCAAAGTATCACGCCCTTTGAGGAGGTAATCATCATGTACCGTAGACCACCATGTTTGAAAGCCTGAAGATGTGTGCTTGCTAGCATTCAAGGGATAGCTAGGAAAAAGTATCTTTGACTCTGTTTTACTACGAATGGCAGTGCGCCAGAGTATTCGACTCAAGTCATAATTTGTGGAACGCACATCTGCCCCGAGTTCCTGTGGAGGAACTTGATAAAACCCGAATTGTCGCGCGAATCTATATGGACTATATGGCTCAACAAGGAAATCCCCTTCAGCATGCAAAACTAAGTAATTTGAGCAGGCGCTTACAAAATAACTTAGTTCGAGATTTGCTAGTTTGCCATCGTCAATAAAGAGTTCATTGCGATTCTTCACAAGAGAAGTGATTCCCCAAGTTACTTTATCTCCCTGATGAATGAGGTCGCGAGCACTATTTTCATCAAAGTATCGTGCGCCACCCTCTCCAGAATAGTTGGTCATGGTAGGTCCAGGCATGGTATTTGGAGTCGAA